TCGGATCCCTGCGCCCCGCGGCGTTCTCCAGTTGCCCTCGCACGAGCAGCGGCCGGCTCTCCACAGCAACCGTCCCGATCTTCCTGGGAAGGGGAGCGAAGCGGGGACGGGCCAGCCCAGGACAGGTATTCACGAGCGACGCTGAGGGACCCCATCCAGTTCAGCCCAGCCCGCCTTAAGTCGGGCCTGTCCCTCTACAGGAGGAGTATTCAAAAATAGTAAAACAATAGTATGGGGATTACATCTCTTGTTTTTTCACCATTTTGGAATATTTTTGGACTCTTTTTTATTTTTCCTCCAATATCCCCCTGTAGGGGGACAGGCCCGACTTAAAGCCCTCCCGACATGACCAAGCGCCGCAGCCCCAGCCTGGCCGGAGACGGGGGTTACCGGCGTGCCTGGAGGAGAGCGGCGTTCGGCCTCGCGGGGGCGGGCGGGAGCGAGGGGGGCCAGCACAACCCAGCCCAGCCCAGCCTGGCCAATCCCAGCCCAGCCCAGCCTGGTCAATCCCAGCCCGTCCCAGCCCAGCCCAGCCCAGCAATGACCGAGAGGGATGGGGGAAGGAGACAATGGAGGAGTTTTTTTTTCACAGCGCTGCACTGCCCACAGTCAAGCGAGCAACAAAAGAAAGGCTCCACTGCCTGCTCCAGATGCACGAAGGCAAAAGGAGGACAGTTTCGCAATCTTGCCAACTATTGCCTTACAGACACTGCTCTCAAGGGAGGGAGGAGGACGGAGTAGGGCGGAGGACGGATGGGAGGGAGGGAGGGAGGGAGGGAGGGCGGAGGAGGGGAGGCTGGGAGGATGGGAGGGGTGGACGGATGGTGGAGGAGCGCCGCCGTTCCAGGACCACCTCCTCCCGCGAAGCGGCTCAGCCCTCTCCGAAGTCGGCGCCTGGCATGGGTTCACCCAGGGGCTCTCCCAGGAGCCCAGTGCGACCGGAAGCCGATGAGGGTCGAGGGTCGGACTCAGAGGAGCAAGAGGTGATGCCAATGATGCGTTCCAGAGCCTCCCATACTTGCTAATGTTTCGCATCGCCTGCGCCGCTAGATACTCCGGAGATCCTGGAGCGTGTCCTGAGCCAATCGCACCATGACATGATTCTCGCCCTACGGACGTTCTTTTTTCGCCTTGGGGGAAGCGGGTCCAGAGGAGGAACACGGTGCCCCAGGTTTTTCGCTGCTTTTGGCCTTTTGGAGCTCTCCACGGGACCTGGGACCGTCAGAACACGACTCAGGATGACGCGCTCGTCCCGGGGGAAGGCCCCAGGATCTCCCTCAGGACCCGTTTCCCCCATGCCAAGTTTCTGTCTTTCTCATGCGGTTGTCTTACCTCCGAGTTCCCTTCAGCAGCTGCGCCTCGCCGAGAGCTCCCCTAGGGGTGCCCGAATCTTCCCGAACGGCCGCTGGAAATCTGAGTTACTTCCCGAAAGCCAAAGTCGGTCACGTACCGCAGGTTCCGCGCCGCTTCGCCGACATTAATCGGCCACGCGCAGAGGGGGGCAGGGGGAGGGGGGGAAGGCTTCACAGGAGCACCCCTGCTTCTGAGAAGGCGCGAGCCTTGTCTGTAGATGTAAGGCCAGCGCCTTCTCAAAAGCATCTTTTTTTTAAGACGCCTTCCTCCCTCCCCCAACCCCCGTGTGCGCGCCGCCAAATCCAAAGCTGAAAGCCCTCCAGAGCTCGGAGATCGTTCAGCCCGCAAGCAGGCATCCCCCAGCGCGAGTTCCAGGCGACAGGTGGGCTCGACTGCCTTCTGGGGTCGTCCGAGGGCTGAGATCGCTCAGGGTTGGGTGGTTCCCGCTGTGTCAGAAGCCAGGGCCAGCGTCGTCAAGGCAAGAACTTGCCGTCGCTTAGTTTTTTCAGGAGGGGAACATCGACGCAGACACACATAAAAGTAGAGCCCCCCGGAATACATGGAGAATCTGGGGAGTGGAGGGGAAGACGAAGATCCCCCAAATATGCAAAATACTGGGGGTCCTGGGATTTGTGCCTCTTTACTTGGGTGTCCCTGGGCCCCTCCATGTTTTTTCAGACAGATTGTGCTTTCCTTCCCCTCCCCTTCTCGCTCTTGCGCGGGCGTGCTGGCATGGAGAGGCGTGGCTTGTTTTTGCTCAGGCCAGTCTGGCGAGGTGACGTGGCCTCCGAAAGCTTACAGATCGAGTCTGCAAAACAAGCTCTCGAGACGCCACTTCTTGTAGTGTGAGGTGGGGGGAGGGGGATGGTGATGAGGAGGAGGGAACATATGGGATTCTGGGCAGGGGGTTCAGAGACTCCTCCTCCTATCATATTTCTTCTGACTCCAGAGTTTCAAGACGCTGCTCCCGCTGCAGCGGTGGCCTCATACATCAGGATCGGCGCTTTGCTCCTGTCGTTCAGACTTGCGCTCTCGCCCCAGCGCGGACCACATCCCTGGATCCGAGAGCTTCCTCGCTGTTGTCGCCCCCTGCCTTCCCCTCACCCGCTTTCCCCCGGTCCTCCTGCTCCTCCCCTTCCTCCTGCTTCTGCTGCCACTGTTCCGCCTCGCCCCTCTCCTTGCTCCTCCTCCTCCTCCTCCCCCTCCTCCTGCTGATCCTCCTGTCCATCCGCCACCTCCTCCTCCAATGTGCACCAGCTCCCCTTCTCCGTGTTGCGCATGACGCGATGGCGCCCGCGTGGGGCTGCCAGGTCCACTATGACACCCGTCGGCGGACAGAGGAACAGAAGCGCAACGTGAAGGGATGGGTGGGCGGGGCAGAATGTCAGAGATGGCGCGCTCACGCCTGGCTTGGATCCTCCTCTTCTCCCTTCTCCCTCCTCCCTTTTTTCCCTTCTCCCCCTCCTCCCTCTACTTCTCCTTCTCCCTGTGCTCCTCCTTTCCCTCTCCTCAAAGCTTCCACATCCCTCCCTCCCCTCCTCCCCCTCCTCCTCCTCCTCCTCCTCTCCTCCTCCTCCTCGTCCTCCTCCTCGTCTCCTCTTCCTCCCTCCTCTCCTCCTCCTCTCCTCCTCCTCCTCCTCCTCCTCCTCCTCCTCCTCCCCCTTCCTCTCCCCCTCCCCCTCCTTGCCCCTCCCCCCCCTCCCTCTGCGCCTTCCCTCCTCCGATCTCCCTCCTCCCTCCTCCCTCGTCAGCTGCCGTCCCGGTTCAGGCTTTGGGTGCAGCGTCAGCCCCTGCGAGCCTTTCGGGACGGCTGCTGGACGCGTCCGCCCGGCAGCCATCGCGCGGGGCTGGACGACCGTGCCTCGTGGCGTCCGGTCTGCGCAGCCTGGCGCCCCAGCGGGCGGTCGGGTGTGGACCAGCGCCGCGTTCAGCTCGGGGGCCAGAGCCCTCGTGGCGCCGACGGGCGCGTCCCCAGCGGGCGCCAGCGAGGGCGCTGCCGCGTCGTGCCTCGGCAGCTCGCGCCCCTCTCGGCGCACAGCACAGCTCGATGCCGAAGGCGACGCCCTGGGCAGCCGGCGCCGCGGGCGGCGGGGCCCGGTCGGCGCCAGTCGGCGCTGCAGGCTGGCGATGCTCACAGCGTGGGGCGTCCAGCTGGCCCCTCGGCGCAGCTGTGCCACTGGCGCTTCCCACCTCGGCGGAGGTCACGACCTCCTGGCGGAGTCTCTCGGCAGCCGCCCCACCGCTCGGGGCAAGGCGACCGAGAGCCGGGCAGCCGCCCACCGCGCGGAGCCTCCAGGGAGCCGCAGAGGAGCCGCAGAGGACTCCAGGGCAGCAGCGCCGGCCACACAGCCGGGAGCGCCAGCATCAGAAGCGTCAACAACGATCTCGACGTTGGCGATCTTGTCCGTCACGCCCGAGACGGCCAAAGCACACGAGTGCTGGGTGGACCCCCCAGCCGGCGCCACGGAGATGGCCCAGCATCGTGTTCAGATCAAGAAAACGCTCGCGGCCTTGGAGAGCCGCATCCTCAGTCGTCGTGCGCTGTGCGAGACCCCCGACCAGCTGAGGCCGTTAGAGACCGAGCATGCAGTGTTCGTCTTCATGCATCTCCACGCTTACGGGGCGCGCGATCGAGTTGCAAACCAGGGAAGGTACTCAGACCGCGCCAAGAAGCGCTTCGCCGACGCCAAGACAGCAGGGGAGACCTCCAAGCTTACCCTCACGAAGGCCACAGCTGTGCGCGAGGCCATGCAGAACTATTTCGATCACTCCGCGAAATTCTTGACATATTTCAAGACCCACCAGCACCAGGAGGAGACCGACGCAGCCGCAGGTGCCGCCCGTGCCGACGCGGCCGAGGCAGCAGCCAGCGCAGAAGCAGCAGGACGCACAGTTCAGTTCGGCCCCATCGCCATGTCAATCGACACGCCACCTACCAGTGGCCTACCAGTGCAAGACCACCAGCGCCACCTCCGCCACCGAGGCCGAGTACCACAGTCCCGCTTGCCACAGCTTCGCTCCCCACGGTCACTACCGAGTTGCAAGCGGGGCAGCAAGCGCTCACGGCGCAGATGACGACCCTGGTCCACATGTTCTCCACGTTGCAGTTGACTTTGCAAGCAGCCTTCCCCCAAGCCGTCACCGCAGCCCATGCAGCTCAAGTCGGCCAACAGCCAGCTCCTAGCCCATGTCCCAGCCAGCAGTTGTAACAGCAGCAGTACCTGTGGCCTCAGCAGCAGCAACAGCAGCAGTTGGCAATGGAGATGGAGTTGGAATCCGCGCAGGCTCTCTATCACCAGACGGCCTACCCCACGTGTCCGAGGAGGAGCTGGCAGCCTTCAGAGCCGCAGGGGGCTGCTGCCACGATCAATGCGGGAGCGGCTACGCCAGCGAGCTCAGCAGCCGAGGGCGCAGCTGGCGCCATCAGCGCCCCACCGCCATGGCAATTGCCTCTTGGAGGCGGAGGGCGCAAGCCGCCGGACCGCACCAAGTGGCAGCAGCAGGCGGGCTCTTTGCCGGGGCGGCTAGAAATGACAGCGTCGCTGATGCGCAGTGCCGATGCACCATCGGCAGACGAACCCGACTCCAAGTACCAGGTGATCGACGCAGAAGAGGCAGGCGCCCAGAGTCTTGCAGGATCCGCACGGCGCGGGAGCGCGAGTCCTACCAAGTCCCAAGCAGGGCTCCAGCACGGGCAATCCAAGCCAACGCGATTTGGGACTATCCCTACCCTCAGAATCGCTCTTTGCCCTGATTCGACAATGTCAGAGCAGCCCCGTTGCCCCACCCCCATCCGTGGGTTCAGAAGTTGTGGGCTCCTGGGGAACACCCGCTCCCCGAGGACCTGCCCCCGCTGGCTCAGTACCTGCATTCTGCCGCAGCCCGGGCCCTTCCAGGTCTTTCCCCTTGGGCGAGCACCGTTGGCTGCTTGTCTATATCGATGCCTCAGGAGGATGCAGAATCGATTTACAATCTCATCGGGAGGCGCAACCAGCTAAATGTTCACCTAATTGGGGTTTCTTGGTTTGAGTGGACGACGTCTCCAACAATGTCGCCCTCCTCGGCTTTTTGGCTAACGCCTTCGACCCAGGGGATATTATCGCCCGAGCATCTCTCGTTCCTTTCGGAGCTCCTCGCGGCCAACTGGGCCCTCGCTTGGATGATGCAATGGCGCTATTTCCAGGGGCCACGCTTTCGCGTCGTCCTGTTCGGAGGTAACATCGAGAAGCTATCTGCCATCCAGGGTGGCGCCACTCAAGGCGCTATGTCGAGGCTGGTAAATAGCATTGCGCGCATCGTGTTCTATAGCTGCGTCGACGCATTCAGGAATCATTGAACGAGTTAGCAGATGCACTTGCCACGCCTGTTTCAGTGCAGCTGACGGATTTTGTTCCTGATTTGTCCGGTGCTTGGCGCGATCATCAGCTTTCTGATCAGGCTCTGAGGTGGGTCTGGCTTGAGTTCGTGCACTCGGATGTTCGCGCGCAGTATCCCCCCCCCTCGGGGCCAGCCTCTGCCGAGTCCCGCCGCGCCCATCCACGTCCTCTCCAGCGCGGCCTCGCTGAGCCCTGATCCCCTGGTTACCGATGGCTCCCATTGCTACAAATAATCTACGCTCTCGAGGTCCCTCTGCGTGATCTCCGCTAACGTGCTCACCGTGGACCCCAGGGCCTTTCGGGCCAACGAGGTCTCAGGGTTGTATCTTCCAGGTCGCATTGCCCATCTTGGCCGCGCATTCACTCGGCGCCGCGTCTTCCTGGCCAGCGCTCTGGAGACCCGATTTTCACGCGATGCCTACTCTACGCTGGGCGATTGTACTCGGTCGCTTTGAGATAGCACAAGCCAACACCGATTTGTGCTATCGTAGGGCTTCGCGTTTGACGTTCGGTAAATCTTCGAACACCGTGTCTCTTCGTATTTTTTGAACCCAATGTCTTGATGTCTGGGCTACTTTTGCCTTTTTGTGCTCCGGGGAGATCGAGAACGGCCCCTGTTCAAGTTTCTGCGTGCTATCTCCGCTCCCTGTGTTGTGCTATGTGCGCGCTGTGCTATCCTCGCCTCTCCCCCCCATGATCCTCCCCGTCGCACACTGAGGCCAGTTTTCAGGGCGGGCTGGGCGTTTCGCCTGAGACGTCCCTACTATTTATGATTCTGAAGCGTAAGAAGTGACATTAGTTTCACAGATGGAAGGCGGGTGGTTTTCAAAATGTGGCTCTCGCCTTAGCGCCGCGCACATTCGTTTTTCAAAATTGCAAGAGTTCCCGGTTTAAGGGCGGGTGGTTTCCAAAATGAGGTTATCGCCTGAGCGCCGCGCACATTCGTTTCCTCTTCCTCCTCCTCCTCCTCCTCCTCCTCCTCCTCCTCTTCCTAGCCCCTCATAACACAGGTCAGCAGGATTGGGGGCGATGCCCCCAATCCTGCTGACCTGTGCTATGTTGGTCCCGCGTGTCTCCTCCTCTCCCTCCTCGTCCTTCTCCTCCTCCACCTCCTCTTCCTCTCGACTGCGGCCATCAGCGTGGCTCCTCCTCCCCCTCCTCCTCCGCCTGTTCCTCCCCCTCCTCGCTCTCTCCCTCACCCCCTCCCTCCCTCCCCCTCTCTCCCCCCTCCCCCTCCTGATTTGGTCTCGGCGGAACGACTCTCATAGCACGCGGCTCACATAGCACAAATCAGGAGAGCCCCCCTCTCTCGCCGCCGGGTCGGCGCTGTGAGGGGCGAGGTTTCTCCAATGCACCCCCCCTTGTCTCTTTGTTCCCTCTTTCTCTCTCTCTCTCTCTGTCTTTCTCCATCCCCTTGGTCGGCGGAGTCGAGAGGATTCGCGCGAAACGCGACCAACATAGCACAAGCCAGGTTCGATTAACAACGTTTTCGATCCAAAACATGGAAACATTTGTTATTGGCCAAACTCGTTTTCACGATTTGTGCTATGTTCGCCGTGCTATCTGTGGAAGACCGGGTATACCACGTTTTCCATGCTAGTGCCGACGCTCACCGCCGATTCGGGTGTTCACTTGGAATCAATGCCAAGTTTACCAACTTCAAGTTCATTTTCAGTGGGGCATCACGGCTCACAGCCAAGGGCTGCAGAGCGCTCTACGCGTCGCCGCGCTTGCTCATCGTGGCCATAAGGCATGGCACTTTCAATTTGGGCCGTCGGGCGGTGGGGCCTTTGGGTCTTCCCTGGGGACTCTTGACGTCGGCGTCTCGGGGTCGGGACCCTGCGGCCTGGGCCCTGTTCCACGGCCTTGGCCATCGGATGGCCGAGGTCAGCGGCGTGGCGTTCTGTGAACGCTGTGCCTGCCATGTCGGGGAGTCGGGTAAAGTGGTGGCCTTCGAGCGGCCCTGCAAGGGCCCCTCGGACCACCCGCCGACGTCGGCGGTGCAGAAGCACCGTATCAAAAGGATGAGGGAGGGCAGGCCACCGCGATAGTGGTTGGTTGTCAGCCCCTTCCCGTCCCTTTCCTTTTCTTCTAGCGTTTGCGTTCGGGCGACTTGGACGCATTTCTGCTTGTCTCTCTCTCTCTCTCTTTCTTCCTCCTCCTCCTCCTCCTCCTCCTCCTCCTCCTCCTCCTCCTCCTCCCCTTCCCCCTATCCCTCCTCCTCCTCGTCCTCTTTCTCCTCGTCGTCGTCGTTGTCCTCCTCCTCCTTCTTCTCCTCCTTCTCCTCGTCCTCCTCCTCCTCCTGTTCCTTTGTCCTCCCCTTCCGCCTCCGCATTCTCAGATTCTGACGACGAAAACGGCGGTGACGACGACGACGGCGGCGGCGGCGCTGGCTGCAGCCACGACGACGACGATCGCCCCGGAGGACTTCAGCTCCGTGCACAGCCGTGCAGGCCGTCCCGAGGCCGCCGGCGCTGGGCCTGAAGGGCTCCCCCAGGAGTCTCAGTGCCGCGGCCGTCGTCGCCGCGGTGCCACCGTCGCCGCCGCTCCGCCGAGGCCGCCGCCGTCGTCTGTCGGCTATGTCGAAGTGGTCGTCGTTATCCTCGTCGTCGCGTGGGCTGTCGGCGTCGTCGTCGTCGTCGTCATCGTCGTGGTCGCAGGAGGAGGAAGAGGAGGAGGAAGAGGAGGAGGAGGAGGAGGAGAAAGAGGAGGAGGAGGATGATGATGATGAGGAGGAGGAGGAGGGAAGGTGGGTGATGATGCTGATGATGGTGGCGATTATGGTGGTGATAGTATTGATGATGATGATGATGATGATGATGATGATGATGATGATGAGGATGAGGATTCGGATTCGGATTCGGATTCGGATGATGATGATGATGATGATGATGATGATGATGATGATGATGGTGATGATGAGGATGATTATGATGATGCTGATGATGATGATGCTCACGATGATGATGCTGATGCTGATGCTGATGATGATGCTTCAGATGATGATGCTGATTATGATGATGATTATTGTGATGATGATGGTGATGCTGATGAGGGTGATGCTGATACTGCTGCTGATGATGATGCTGATGATGATGTGGTTGATGATGATGATGATGATGATGATGATGATGATGATGATGATGATGATGATGATGATGATGATGATGATGATGATGATGATGATGATAATAATGACGAGGAGGAGGAGGAAAAGGGAAGGACAGGTGGAGAATTGGGGCATTGAGGGGAGTACGGGATAGGGAGGTCGGGATGGGGGATAAGAGAGGAGTCCCTGGTCTGAGGAGCCAGCTACTCGGGGGGGTGCCAGAAAGGGTCTTGGCCAGGAGGTGACTTGTTGTTGAATTTTCTCTGGTGAATTATTTTTGTTGACCTCTTCCTGTCCATTGCCCATCGTGCTTTTTCAATTTGAGGGGTCTCCCCAATCCCCAGCGCGCGCATTTTTTTACGGTGGAAGGCATCATGCTCAACATGTGTTGTTGCCCCCTGGCTGCAACAGCAGTCATTGTAAGGTTCTTCGCTCTTATCTGCTCGCGTGTCAGTCAACCCTAGATACCCGCCCACTTCTTCTTCGATCGTGCCCCCCGTCGGGGTGTATCTTTGTCACCTGCCACGTGTAGTTGAAGCAGCCCCTAGAGCAGGAAGAGGAGGGAGACAGGAAAAACGTATAGCGAGGAGGAAAGGAGTGCGGGAAGGGAGGGAGGAGGGAAGGGGCAACGGGGAGGGAGAAGGATGGAGCACAAGAGAGATTAGCAGGGGGCCCGCGGCAGAGCCAGACGGGCGGATCGGACGGGCGGACCCTACTGGTCGGGTCGGGCGGGCGGGCCCAGACGGCCGGGTCGAGCGGGCGCGTCGCTGAAGCGTCAGTCCCCCCAAGTAAATCGTTGGAAGATCCAGAGCGAGAGCGTGCTCCCTGAGTGCCGAGGGCTCCGCATCCGAATCACTGATGAGAACGTGTCACGCGAGAGCGCGATTCCTGGGCAAACTGCAAGGAGGTCCAGAGCGAGAGCGCCAGTCTTCAATACAAGTTGAGGAAGTATCCAGGCGGGGGCCGTTGTTGTTGAGCTCTCATTCCTGAAGGATTCTTGTTGTTGATCCCCCCCGCCCAGTGCACGTTGTAGTTGTTTCGATTGGAGTGCCCTCCCGGGGCTTGCACCCTGTTTTCAAAGTCAGGGCACGTCTTAAGCGTTAACCTTTGCCGCCGGCCCCCGAGTCACAGCAACAACAGCTCCCGCTTCAATGTATCGAGAAATCAGGCTTTCGCTTGAGACTGCCTTGCGATTTGCTCAGGAACCGCGCTCTCCGCCTGAGACTTCTACACACTTGATTCAAATGCCGCGCCCTCGACACTCAGGAATCGCGCTCTCGCTTCGGACCTCCTCACGATTTTCTGGGAAATCGTGCTATCGCATGACACTCGCGGTTCATGCTGGACGCACGCTTCAGCAACCCGCCTGCTCGACCTGGCCGCCTGGGCCCGCCTTCCCGCCCCGCCTGTTAGGGTCTACCCGCCCGATCTGCCCATCTGGCTTTGCCACGTCTTTTCTGCTCCTAGCCCCCCTCTCCTGCTACTCTCTCTCTCTCTCTCTCTTGCTCCATCCTCCCCCCTCCCCCTTGTCCCGTCCTTCCAACCGTCCTTTTTTTTCAGCTGTAAGGGTTGCATGGAGTACGCGTTGCAGGTAGTACATATGTATGTATGTATGTATGTATGTATATATATATATATTTATTTATATAGGTGTGTGTGTATGTATGTATATATATGTGTATATGTATATATATATGTATATATATATACATATCCGTAGCCATTTTGGTTCAATGCTATGAACCGCCCGACGACCGCGAGTCGGCTTCGGTCGGCGACTGATGAGCGCGAGGGGGTTCGCGCTTTGAAGCCAAACATTCTCTCACCATTCGTGTCTCGCGCTGCCCTGCTGGGCTCCAGCCCTCGGCGCGTCCCACCACGTTCCCCACCCGTTTCGCACCTGCAGGTGGAATGCCAGATGGGGCTGCCTCTCACTCGCGGCGGCCTGGCAAGGCTGGCAAGGCTTCTGGTGGCTCTGGTGGTGGGCAGCGTCGTCGCGGCAGCCCACGAGAGGACGATGCTCGCACTCGGAGCGCAGGCACGGACGACCCCTTCCAGACTGGTGCTGACCCCTGGCGTGCCCAAGGCACAGCCACGCCGATTGCCACCACGCCACCAGCGACCCCTCGGACACCGCGCGGCAGCGGCCGCGACCGAGCCCCTCCTTCACCGCGGCCTGGCCCTGGTGCTCGCGCTGGCGGTCTGGTTCGTCACTCCGAGCTCGAGGAGATCCTGGGCGCCTTGCGCGATCAGATCTCGGGCGCGGTGCAGAAGGCCAACGACGCTCTCATGCTCTCCATCACCTCCAGCACGACCAGTGCCCTGCGGCTCTTCGGCGAGAGGCAGGAGGCCAAGAACGTGCAGATCGACAGCCACCTCAGGGAGCTCGACCAGTCGACCGCGCGGCTGGCCAGGGGCCAGAGGGAGATGCGGGACCAGCTGCAGGCTCTGGAGACGTCCATGGCCGTGTTCGAGGCGGCGCCCATGGCACATCGGGGACATCGCCGACTGGTCGCGCGACGTGGACAAGTCCGTGTTCGTGGTCTCGGCGAATGAGGCCATCACCCACCAAGCCGTGGCCGACTCCGTCAGGTCGTGGCTGGCCGACGCCGAGCTGGAGGACAACCACTGGTCCATCGAGGGCCTCTCGCCTGGGCGCAGGCTGCTCATCAGGATGCACGGTGCCGACGGACTCGCCGCGCGACGGGTCACCGCCGCCTTCCGCAAGCTCCGCAAGGAAGGCAGCTGGCGACGCTTCACCGCCACCGCCGCCGACGGCAACGAGGTCGGCATGTTCGTCGGACTCGACACGTCGCCCCAGACTATCCGTCGGGAGATCCAAACGAAACGCCCCCTCGAGCTCGTCCGCGGCTCTAGTGCTGAAGGGCGCTGGCGCGCGAACCGCCACGCAGGCACCATCAGCGACGGGAGCAAGCCTGTCATCCGTGTGGTCGTCGGCGCCACGGCAGAGGACCCGACGATTCTGGAGTGGAACTACCGTGCTGCTACTGACGCTCAGCTTGACAAGGGTGGCATCAAGCGGTCTTTCAATGACATCTTCGGCGGCGTCGAGAAGATCCATTGGGCGACTTAACACTCGCTGTGCCTCGTGGCGCGCACCGTCGGAGCACCAGCATTGTGTCGCCTTCGGCTCCTGGAATGCCCGCGCTTTGGTACACCACTGTGTTGAGACGAGGGACAGGAAGTTCAGCTACCTCGGCTCGCTGCTCAGGCTCAAGACCGCCACGTGCGTGCAGGAAGTTCACGGCACGGAGCTCGAGTTCAACCAGGAGCTCCACCGCGTGCACCTGCTTCTACGTGCCTTCTCCAACTGCAGCGAGCGGCGGGGCACGGGAGGCACTGCCATTCTCCTCCCTGGTCATTTCGCTGTCGCTGATGCGTGCCGCTTCTCTCATGAGATTCTCGTTCAGGGTAGGGTTCAACGGCTTCGGATCTCGGGGCCTGCTTCTGACACCCCTGCCCCTTCCATTGTCATTTACAACGTCCACAACTTCGGCCTCAGCTCACAGGACATGGATGCGGTCTCGGCCTGCGTCCGCAGGGGCATCGCCCTTGCGAAGTCAGCCCCGCGTCTGGTCACAGTCCTCCTCCTCGGCGGCTTCAACATCTACGCGGCGGCTCCGCTGCTCACCCGCACCCCGCTCCTCAGCAAGGGCCTGGTGCCGCTCCACCAGGCGCCGCGACCGCAGGGGCGCCGCTGGCAGGCTATCTTCCAAGACTTCATCGAGATCGCCAATGAGCTCCCCACCCACTACAACGTTCAGGGTGATGCGCCCCCCAAGCTCACCCAGATCGACAGGGCCTTCATTGCCTCTCCCAGCTGGCTCACCATCCAATGGCACGTCACTGCCACGACCCGCGACTTCCCTGAGCCCCTGCACGAGCGTGGCCTCAGCGATCATGCCCCGCTGGTCATCACGATTGCCGCTCGCCCTCGTCTGGCGGACGATGCCCAACCTTTTCCCAGGCGCATCTTCCGCGACCCCGAGTATCCCGCTCAGTTCGCACTGCTGTCGGAGTTCGTCAACTGGGATGCGCTCCAGCTTCCAACAGCGACATGAGCACAAGCGCCTGATGAAGGAGGCCGCTCGGCGGGTTAGAGACCGCCTCTTCACCGCGAAGGCCGAGTCGCCGCGTCCAAGCTGGCCTCCTCGCACTTGGTCATCGAGCACCGCAGCCGCGCTGATCTCATTGCGCGACCCTGCCGCCCTCGAGGAGGAGTTCGCTGCAGCCCAGAGGGTCTACAGCGAACGGCGCGAAGCTCGGCGCGACCAACGCGTCAGGGCCCTTCCACCAGACGGCACCTCGTTCCGCCACATCAACGCGATGCGCCGTTCGCTGAGGCGACGTGCCG